TTCCGAAACAAGTGCATCCTGTATATTTAATAAATATTTTTAACTTTGTTTATTATCAAAATTATATTTTTTAATATTATATTAACTAAATGTTCAATGTTAATTTAAATAATTTTTACTGATCTAAAATAAATAAATTGAATAAAGAATGAAAAAGATATTTGTTTTCATTTATTAGAGAAATATTGAAAAAATTGGAAGAATATTACATGCATGTTCGATTCTTCAATACGAAGAAATACAGAATATTATAAGAAACATATATCTATATAAACTTACTGTTGTATTTTCTACCGAGCCATGATCTTCAGCTAAGGAAGATCTATTGTTCTGCAACAATGCTTCAAGATTTTCGATATACTCAATTGCATTCCTTAAAATCTCAACTTTTGGTAAACGTTGATTGGGATTATTACTTGTTCTTCTTTTTAAAATTTCAAATGCCTCATTTACCTAAAATATAAATAATCTTTCGGATATTGTGTATTATGATACGAATCGAAATACTAATATAAAAAAAAAGAATTCTATCATGACCTCAATTATTCATATATATTTGAAACTCACTTTTCTCAAACGTCTCCTTTCTCGTAAAGTAGCAGCTTTTCTTCGATCGACAGTGACAGTTTTCTTCTTGCAAGCTTTGCAAGCCCAAAGTAAACATCGGCGAGGTCCATGTATTGAGGTAGTGGCATCCAGAGCCACCTCAGGATGAGGCACATGTTCATGTAGTTCGGTTTCGTTCAATTCGTTACTCCTTTCGTTTGATTCATTCAATTCGTTACCCTCATTGCTCTCCTCGGCTTCGACGGAACCGGATTCAAGATCAGCTGAAGCATCCACCGATACAATAGACGACGCGTCGTCTGAGTCCACCGCGTATCGTAATGATTGCGATCTATCGATGAACAATAAAAATTTATTATATCTCTTTTCTTATTTCTTGTATTGTTTGAAATCAAAACAAATCAGAAAAATAAAAAAAAAGAAAAAAAATAAATTAAAAATAATTAAAAATTGGTTTATATGTCGGTAAATAAACCAGATTAGGCCCCGTTTCATGGAAAATGTTTTTTCTGATAGAAATAATTCCAAATTATTGGCAATATAATTCCTAACATTGTCGGTGTGACGATGAATTCAAGATAGTAAGCATAATTAAATGAAATATGAAATGGTGAAAATGATTTGACGCGCGACAAAATTGTGTCATCGTGTATGAGAACGCATTGCGTTCTTCTTTGAAATAATGATATTACACGATATATGATACGATTTGAATTTCGCTTAAATCCAAAAAAAAAAAGAAAAAAAAGAATAATAAGAGAAAAAAAATGAAAAATTGAACATAATTTTTTTCTTTATCGTACTGATAGCGTTGAGAGTTCGTCGATCCTAATGCAAAGTCATTTTCAGTTGTCTCGATTACACGATTTTTCGTTTCTTCATCCACATTTTCTTCAGTCAGATGTCTTTGTAGATATTCAATTGAAGGATTACCAATAGAGGTATATACACTTTGTCGCCGACGATAATGATAATGATGATAATACTGATGATGATGCCGATGGTAATAATAACGATGAAGATGGTGATTATGATGCCGAAGTTGTAAGTGATGATGCCGATAAACGTCGTAGGATTCTCTACCGATCGATTGACATGCATAAGATATAGTATTTGTCACAAGAGTCATCGTTTCTCGTAAGACACTCCGATAAAAAATTTTTTTTCGTGCAATCTTTCTCCACTTTCTTCCACTTTCTTCCCGTTCTCTTCTTCCTCCTTCTCTTTTTTTTTCTTTCCGTCCTTTTTTCGTTTGGAATCGAATAAAATGGCGCTTCTCGACTCGCGTATCAATATTTTGATTATCAATATATTTTTGCAAAGGAAATTCCTGATTGATTCGATCGATTTTCATGTCCCGTTAAGCGATTCCTAACATCGCAAGCAATATCCACGATCCGATTTCCATTTCTGTTTTTCCTCGGGACCTATCCATCTATCTACCTATCTATCTGATAATTTATTAATCGATCGATCGATCGATCGATCGACCGACAGACCGACCGATCGATCGACCGACCGATCGATCAATCAATTATACCTGTAGACAATCGTTGGAATTATCCAATTTTGATACGAATTTAAAAATAAGAAGACACGTGAATGGAATAAAACGTATAGAAGAAACGTATAAATAGAAAATGTATACAATATAAATGATGAGAGATCAATAATCGATGATTGAAAATTTTCAAAAATCGCAAAAATCAAAGCGAAAACTTTAAGATTAAAGCGTTGCAATGTGTCGCACGTCGCAACGCAGTTTCCGGGAGCCGGCTCGTGGCCCTGAAACGTGTACGAATGCGGACCGCAAGCTCTCGTTCACGTTCGTCGAGTTCCGTACTCGATCACACTTATGCTCGTACTCGCGCTCACATTTTGAACCACGTTCTTCGACCGTCGAAACCCACTCCTAGCGAACAGTTCGGATACTTTACGAGCTACGTTTAGCATCTGGGTACACCCAGATGGATTATTTTCGACGAGAAACCAACCAATTGGAGTCCGTGAAAATTCTCCGACGTTCACTATCGTCCCGCCTCTTTTCTTTCTCTACTCGAATCTAATGGTTGGTCAAATGTCGTCACATTGGGGTGTGGTTTCAATCTCGATACTGTTTAAAATTTTTTCATCTTCTATCTGATCCATAAATTACACATCGAGTTGATATAAAGTCATGATTTTTTTCTTTCTCTTTTTTCATAATGATTCATTCTCCCTTCACAATCATTGATAAATTTGAATGAGATGTATTCGAGAATTTTCAAATTTTGTTATTTTTTCTCATATATTTAAATATTAATTTCTCAATTGATCAAACTAAAATTACAATATTTTGATATCAAAAATGGAAATATAATTAAAAGAATATAAATATCATTTCTTATTCAATGCAACTTAATGCGTCATCATGGCGAAAGATATATATATATAAGTATATGTATATAAGCGTATTATATTCGTACCTTCCTGTTTTTTATACTAGATGCGATCGACTTGCTTTTACTCTCGGATTGGATTGAACATATCGAACAAATAAAAGCTTTTCATTCAAAGAAACAAACAAATGATGAAACAAATGAAGAATTTTCTATATAATATCAAAGACCAATGTGTAAGCCAACAAAGGCCATTCGATGATATAAGAAAAGAGATTAAAATTAAAGGAGAGCGATGCAGAGAACACGAATTGCCCTACGGCAAACGGCGAAGATTGGCCTTGAACCGGTGACCTATTTACCTACATAGGAAAATATCGTAGAAAGAGATTATAAAGAAGAACAAAAGGCATTTTGCAGAATATAATCGCAAAACACCGAGGAAATTAGAAAGAGTGTTCGAAAAAAATTAACGGTTTTATCGATAGATAAATGAACAAATCATCTAGTTGAGAAATTTTCATTACACTGTAAAATTTTTCATTTTTCATTTTTCATTATGTAATGTGTTATCAATACAAATACATGTATAACATATATGTATTCATGAATATATCCTAAATAAATTAAGCTAAGTAAATTAGTGTATATAAATATATATCCGAATCACAAATAAAATATAAATATGTAAATAGTATATAAATGTATAAATATGCATCTAAGTGCAGAAAGAAAGTTTAACGCGTAATAGGGGTGGTGCTGTATTGCATCCCTATAAACAGTACAGTATTCGTGAAATCTCGGACCGACTCGGAGGTAATCGTGTCGAAAACGAAGAGAGAAAATCGCAAGGCGAACTATTTGAATCGGAGAAGCGAGATGGAAAACAGGTCACCCTCTTCTCCTTTCAGGATTCGGTTGGCTGGGATACCTCATCCGCCAAAGCTAAAAGTTCAGGAAAGGGCAATGCCTCACCCATTTTTATGGAAACGCATAAATCAAGCTGAATGATTCACAATTCTCTTTCTATTTCAGCTTTTCTCGTTTCAACTTTATTTTTCGAATGATCACGAGATTACCAATACAGGAAAAATTTTCGTCGAATTTATGATATTTTTTTCGGTTTATTTCGTTTTCTTTACGTAAGTATGCTTAGTAGCAAATGAAAAAGAAAAAAGCATTCAGATGAAAGATAAAAATTGATTAGATCGAATAGTTGACAATTATAACGAAGATACAAAAGTAAAAAGCATATCGAGATGAATCATTACCGAATACGGAAGAAATTTTGTTCCCGTAATTGCGCGCGCGCGCGCACAAGCTCGGTATGTATGTCAGTATGTATGCCACTATGTATGTCAGTATGTATGTGCTATGCACAAGAAAGGAAAAAGGATAATTCTGTAAACAAAGATCGTGAAGGGCTAAGGAATGATCGGAGGAAAAGAAAAATAAAATAAAATATAACGATACGGCAGGAAATGAAGAGAAAAGTGAAAGCATAAAACGAGGGTAGCGACATAAAGAGGTTAGGATGGTGTTGAAAAGTGTGCAAGAGCGGCGCTGTGAGAAGAGACGAGAAGAGGCGCGGAGAGTAGTTGAGGGCAGAGGGGAGAGGACAACGAAGCAAGAGTTTGGGCGAGGAGTTGGAGGGGGAGGTTTTGCGAGGGGTTTGCAAGGGGTTGCGAGGGGTTTGCGAGGGGTGATCGGGAAGGAGAAGAGAGAGTTGGTCGTCAGGTCGTGTGTTGCGGGCTGCTGCGGCTCGGGCGCGACAGTTCTACCTCGACCATTGCCGGTTAATTTTCGCAAGGCGACTACGTATACGAAACAATAGAGGTGATCTTTTCAATGCGATGCGGCGCGATATGGCGACAGTTTGTGTGTTAGGTTGAATCGTAAATCTACTTGCAACACTTCGATTGCATTTCTGACTTTATCCTCATCGCGGTATTACAGACGGTAAGCACTTTCGGCGTTTGGACGGATCATCATCGAATATATACATCAATATCTCAACGTGAACCGAAAGAAACTAAGAGGAAAGAAAAAAAGAGAAGAAGCGAACGGAAGGAAAAGAGAAGAAAAGAATTTCACTTATGACAAGAATCATTATCGTGTCAGCTATATATCGAGTCACTATAATAATATATCAGACTACGGCATGTGGAAATATATTAACCGAACAAGATTGTTAATTTCATCAACAAGATACATAATAGCACGCGATTAAATCTCAAATGCATATGTTTAGCTCAGAATGCATAGCAAATGAATTTTTCTCTCTTGAACAGTGTAAATTTTTGAATCTTTGTACCGATCTTAAATTGTTATCGTTCATTACAATTCTTACAAATCTTTTTTTTGTTACGACAACTGTTTGATGATTTAATTCGGAAATTTTTGATATGAAACAAACCGATTAGGCGTTTTTTGAAGTCAGAATTGATTGAATATTATGCAATCGCCAGAAATATGAACAATCAATCCCGTGNCGACAAATCGATACTTTGTATATCTTATCACAACGCGTTTCGTTGATCAAGATCGACATCGAACAAATGACGCGATTTTTTGATGAAACGATGAAACGAAGGAGTTAACTCATGCTTTCCATTATGACCTAATTTTTTCAATTGTTTTTTAGTTTTATATTTAAATATCATTGTGTTCGAAATTAAATAATTGTTACGTAAATACATATATGTATATATATATATATATA